ACGGCAAGACTGAGTGGTTTAAAATCAGGGTTTCTGTCACGATTTAATCCTTTGTCCCTACTTAGTGCTGAATAAGTCAGTTGAGTATGCTGAGTATATAAGTTGAGAAGGTGGCATCATGCTTGGACAAAGACTCATCAGCAACATGCATCATGCATATTACCAACTTTACTTGCAGAAAGTGAAGAGTATTTTACACTCTTGCTACAGAAGATCAAAAAAAGCCTTCAATATGAATTGCATCTCAACATCAAGAAACAAAAGTTCAAGTTCTGACTAGTGAACCCATAGACAACATTGTGACAGCTAGAGAAAAAAAAATTGAAGTTCTCAATAATTTCATTTTACTTGGATTCATGATCAGCACCCTTGAGAGTAGATGTCAAGAAATTTAAAGATGTGTTGCATTGGGAAAGTCTGCTGTGAAGGCCTTCTCCAAAGTGCTGAAGGGCAGTGATGTCGTTTTAAAGACTGAGGTGCACGTGCTCCAAGCCAGTCTTTTCATCTGTGCATCTGAAAGTTGGACAATGAATAAGGATGACTGTAGGGCAACTTTGAATTGTGGTGTTGGAGATGAGCACATGGTAGCTATTCCATAGACTGCCAAAAGAACAAATAAGTCTATCTTGGAGGAAGTTGCAACAAGGGTGCTTCTCAGAGGTAATGGTGAAACTTCATCTCACATACTTAGGGTATGTTGTCAAGAAGGGCCAGTTCTTAGAAAATAGAAGAACAGAGAAGGAGAGGCAGACCCACAACCGGATGGATTGACATAGTGACTAACAGTGTGCTTGGGCATATCAGAGCTAGGGAGACAGATACAGGATAGGACAAGGTTCTTGGGTCACTGCGGGTCCTAGTTGACACAGTTGTACCTAACAGCAGCAGACATGTCTGGGAGTGTAATCAGTAACTGCTGTGAGCATTTTTACTGTTCTTTTGACTATAAATCAAGATAGGAAAATACTACAAAGATGGTTGTTATAAAAACTTTTAAAGATAATCTAAAATTTGGGATGAATGCATGTTTGATATGATTTCTGTTTTGTATGCTTCTCCATTTACAGTCAAAGAAGACCTTCAATCATTAGAATTATTTTAGAATTCTTGCTTAGTTTGATTCCCCCCATAACAGTTATTTGCTATATATGCATGCATCATGTGCCAAACCAAATTAAACACATTGCCATAGGATCCATTCCAACTCATGAAGGTACTCCCACCTCATCTTTCACCTAGAAAGAAACAGCTCAATTTGAGCAGCTGTGTTTTAATAAGCTGCCAGACATGTTGCCGCACCACATCATCAAAGTTCCCTAAAGTTGATATGCAGAAATGAAGTTCGACATACATAAAATTTGAAATAAATAAAGTTGACATGCAGAAATTTAGAATATGTGATTTTCTGAAGAATATATTTGGCAAATCCTGGTGGCAGAATGGTTATGATCTTGGCTGCAAATTGAAAGGTCAGATGCTTGAATCCACTAGCAGCTCTTTAGGAAAAAAAAAGACCTGGAGGTAGATACTGGGGAGTTACAGGGCCTTTCTCCTCTGTCTTATATGGCTGTGTAAGTTAGAATTGACAAATGGTACATAGAAACATCCCATTCAGACTTAGAGTTGTAAAGCATTCTGAGAGGATCATTCGGTGCCCAGTCAGGAGATATCTTTCTTTCTTTTTTTTTTTTTAAAACACCTTCTTGGCTCTATTGAGCAGTTTTGATTGGACAGAACTTGATTTCCCTGTACTGTGTGCTTTTGTACCCACAAACACTCTCCGACAGTGAACTTGGATGAACACTCCTCCTCTCCCCAGCAGTCCAGTTAGTTTTCTCTTTGGGGATCACTGCTGATGTTTGGCAGCATGACATACATACAGTGCTGTACTTTTATCTCTTCTTTGCCTTAACACTCTTTAGAGTTCCTTTTATCTGTTACTTCTTTGCATTTCTCATTCATTTGTTCTGTGGCTAGGTCATGATTTAAGTATCATCAAGTTAGGCTATTTCTGATATTTTGTTCTTATGGTTTTACAAGACACAGTGAATGGAAATGATTGTAAGAAGCACAGTGTGAATGAATGAAGGATGGTGTGAAACACAATGTTTACAAACTTTGTATGCACACCAGTAAACACACACACACACACACACACACACACACACCCCTCCCCTTCCTAAAAAAGAACAGAGGACTTGGGGAGTCTCAGTGATCTTTTAATTTTTTAATAATTATTTGGGCCAAGTTTTGTGTGTGTTGTGTTGAGTGAAAACTGTTGTTGTTGAGAATCCTTGAGTTAGAACCAACCTGTAGCTGATTCTTAAGCAGGTTTTCAGAGACAGTTAATTGCATGGGAAGAGATTGCCCATCTTTATCCTGCAGAGTTCTTGTTGTTAGGTGCTGTGGAGTCACTTACAACTCATAATGACCCTATTTACAGCAGCCCTGCTCTATCCTGTGCCAATCCTACTGTCTCTGACTCACCTACCCCCAGTACCCCAGTCACTGAATCAGTCCATCTCATCGAGGGTCTTTCCTCTCTTGTGCTGTTCATCCATCCTCCCAAGTGTGGTGTTCCTCTCCAAGGACTAGTCCCTCCTTGTAAAATGTCCAAAGTATGTTAGATGAAGCTTCAGAATCCTTGCCTCCAAGGAGCAGCCTGGTCTCACCCTTTCTAGGATGAACCTGTTTGTTCTATTAGCAGTCCATGATATATTCAATACTCTTCTCCAGCACCACAGCTCAAAGGCATGAATTCTCCTTCCATCATACCTAGTCATTGTCCCACATCCCAGTGCATAGCAAGTAACATCATAGCCTGTATCAGGCGCACCTTAGTCTCCAGACTAACATCTTTGCTCTTTAGTACTTTGGAGAGGTCTCTGACAATAGACTTTCCCATTGCAATTCATCTTTTAAATTCCTGGCTGCTGGTACGAAGAATGTTGATTGTAGAGCCAAGCAAACTAAAGCTGTTAATAATCTCAATTTCTTCACCGTCTGCCATGATGCTGCCAGTCAGCCGAGTGGTGAGAATCTTTGTTTTCTTGATGTTGCGCTTCAGTTCATATTGAAGGCTGCAGTCCTTGGAGTAGGTAATTGAAACTCATGCTTTTGGGATTGCAGTACAACTTCTTACCACTAGGCCACCAAAGCTCCCCATATATTGTAAGTTATTATGTGCTGTTGCGTTGTTGCATTGGAATTGATCTTCCAACAGGTTTTCAGAGGCAGTAATAGCATGGGAGGAATGTTCAGGAGTTTTCCCTAATCAGGTGCCCTCATCCCACCCCACCCCTTTTTTTTAAACATCATTTTTAGTCTTGTTAGCATATTTTGTTTTCAGTAGAAATAGAAGGAGTCCTCGGATCAATTGCTAGGTTAGGTACTGCACTACTAAAATTTTGGCCATTTTAATACAACCAGAGATGCCATAAAGATCAGATGTGATAAATTGCTTTTGAAAATTCACAAACTTTAAAACCTCTTGTGAAGTGCAGTATACTCTGTGCCCAGGGAGTTAAAATGATTTAGATTTGACAACAAAGTAATCAACACTGTTAGAGATTACAGTCAGTAGGTTAATTGGTACACAGTTTTTGAAACAGCAGTAAGAAAACAGTAACACAATGCAAGTTGTAAGTTTATAGGAAGGAAACAAATAGTTGTGTAAACAAAATCATCTGTTGGGTTCATTCATCTTAGTTTTAAAAATGAAAATTCACAAATAAAGGTAAGAACTGTTTGAAAGGAATATATGATTATGCATTATATGCTTGAGAACAATCTGAAACAAGGGGTGCATTTTGGGTGTGGGCTAAGGGAGGGGAAAGGAAGGAGAAAGAATATGTATAATAATGAATAAATTTAAAAGTAAAAAAAATAAAACCCACAGAAACCCAAACAAACAAAAATATGAAAATTCAAGCATATCTGAGTTGATGTTTTTAATAGTCAACCTTAATGGATAATAAAAATTCAGCTGTCAGCATATTGATATTTTTTTCCTTTAAGGGGCATATAGCAAAAGGCTGTCCTCTCAGTTCCCTTCCTATGCAAATATGTAAATGACAGTTATTACCGAGGAGAAGAGAAAATGGTTGTAGTGGTAGAAGGTAGGAAATTGAATTTTCCCATAATTGTCTTCTTCAACTGTACTTCAAATTGTGTTTGGCCTAGAAGATTTTTACATGTAGTGTTAGCCTTTCAAGTTTTCTCTTGCCCTATCTTAAGTATGAGGTAGCTAAAGAATATAAATAAGAAAAGTTACCTTTTAAAAGTCTTTTATTTATGCTTTGGGGAGCTCTGGTATCCTAGTCATAAGGAGCTGTGCTGCCAACCGAAAGGTGCATGATTCAAATCCACAGGCTATTCTGGTGGAGAAAGATGGACAATCTTTTTTTTTTTAAATTTATTATTATTTTTTGTGGATCTGATTGGTGCAGGAGGAGACAGTCTCTCGTCCAGCGGAGCATCTAGTGGATTCAAACCACGGGCCTCCGGGATTGCAGTGCAGCTTCCTCTTGCCACTAGGCCACCAGAACGCTCTAAAGATGGACAGTGTTCTCCTGTGTCATTTAATAGTACTGAAAACCTACTGGAGGGTCAGCTATGGGTTGGCTCCAACTCAGCAGTACATAACAATAGCAATAACAACTTTCATCTTATTAATAACTAAGGACTTTTAGAAGAAAAACTCAGATATTAAATAAAATGTAAATAATTGTTGAAAATCACCTTTGTTTAGATTCTCCTTTGGGTATCTGGGTCACAGGGCCTAAGGCAGTGGGAGGGAGGGATGGTGTCATAGGTTCTTCCGTCAGACGCTGTGAGTGTGCTGTGTGATTTCCTATCTACCCCAACTGTAATTAAGCCAGCATGTCAGACAGAAGTTCAGCGTGTACACCTACACACCTCCGTGCACCCAAACACAGCTGGACCACCTTAGCATTGACCTTCTGTGTTTCATGCCTTGATGTTGAACTTTCGGGCACAGAATGGAGACTGCAAGTGAGAGTAGCTCGTCGTCAGGGGTTGACAGTGTCTTTTTGTTCGATTCTAAAGCGGTAGCACAAATGACTGGCAGTGAAGAGGGAGAAGGAGACCAGCACTTCAGGTGATGATTGAACTTGCTGTTCTATTCTTGCCCTTTGTCCCTCTGTCTGCTTTTTTCTTTACATTCTCTGTCTTTCAATCTCTTTTCTAGTAAGGTACACTTTTCTCTGGGGAAGATTTGGAGTTGAAGGCAGCAGGTTTCAGGTTGTATGTTACTACTGTATAATATTCTTCATTCCCCAACTTGCCCTGAGCTTGTACGATTTGTTTTAAATGACTTGTTGGAACACTAGGAAGAAAAGATGCTTGACAGGTTTTGTAGTAGTAGAGTTTCAGGAATTTCAGGTACAGACACGTAAGCACCTACTGTCTTTTCCTGTATCTCAGTGGGGTTTTACCTCGTAATAGATTTTTCTTCTTTCTTTTAATCTGTATACCTCCTTTTTTTAGCCATATTAATTGGTATGAAAAATTTTAATTAAGTATAAATTGGTCATTTCATGGTGTTAAGCCTCACAATTTGTCTCAATGATACCTTACTTTTCTTTCTTGGTTCTTTTAATTCTCTTATCTTGACTTCATGATTAGAGTTTGCACAGGATACCTCCTGCCTGATTCAGAACACTTATAATTCCATGAAATTGATACAGAAGAGGTTTTATCTAATTTGTGAAAACAGTGTCAGGTGTTTAAGAATTCCAGTATACAGTGCACATTTTAGGATTGTTTTTCAGATGCTTCTTTTTTCCATACAAGGTTAACAAGTTAAAACTTCAGGGGATGAAGAAATATTATCTACAATCTTCTGGAAATAAAAAGTTCTGAAGATGAAAGAAAGGATTAAAATGAAGAACTTTGTATAATTCAGTTTTTGTTAATCAGTATTTTAAATAAATAGGAAGCATTTTTCAAATATTAAATACTCAACATGTGAAAATGGCTTATTACTGTATTAGCTTCTTTTTATTTAAATATTTTTGCTTTATTTTTTAGCTTTTTTAAAAACTTAATTTCAAGAACGTTTTATTTAACTAAAAATGGAATTCCCAAAATACAGCTGGATAAAGACATTATTTCTTTTTGTTTCGTTAGCCTTTTTTTATCTGAGAAAACCACATTTCTCCAAGATATACTGATGTTGTATATATTCCTTATTTTCTAATACGCTTGATGTGTTACTAAATTACTGAAAATAAAGTGCTGGTTTTGTTTGCTTTGCTTTGTATTAAACCTGTTTGATATTAATATGTTACAAGTTGTTTTGGGGTTATTGCCTCTTTGGGGTATATTCTACTCCTTCTCTGTTAGGATAGGTTGTACTTCAGTATTAGATTTGAGTTATCAGGTAGCAGGGGTCTGTCTGGGATTTCTGCTTGACAGGTAGAACCAGGAAAGCAAATCTATGTGAGATGATGCTTTTCCTCAGGAGTATGTCACACTTAGGAGTATGTTGCAGCATTTTGACTCAGGACAAAGCAGATTGTGATTGCATTGTGTTGGGAAAGTATTATGCTGTAGGACATTCGTCTTCTATTTATAACAGTATTTCCTATCTGAATATTAGCATGCCCTTCCCAAACCAAATAATTTCTTTAAAATTTGATCTAATTTATTTACAAATCCAACAGAGAATCAGGGAAGGTCAGATTTTATGTAGTGTTTCTCACCCATTCAGCAGGGAGGCATGAGGAAATGGGGCAGCCGTGTGCTTTCACAACCTGCAGCATGCCAGCTCATATGCCGTCCAGAGAGGAATGCACTTGTGGGTGTAGGAGATGAAGGGTTGGCTAGTGATAGGTGTTCTGTAACTCCAGAGAGCCAAACGTGGGTTCATGGATGAATAAGAGAGTTGTTTTTGGAAAATAGGTTTAATAGTAAAATAAATTGTATAGTGAAATACTAAAAAAAAGTATAGTTGTATTTTTTTAATGTATGCTAATAAATGAGACCAAACTATTGGTATTGTTTGAATTGTTAACAATTTTTTTAAAATTTAGGTTGTTTATTTTTCATTTCAATGAACATCTATAGAGATTTTGGGATTCCATTCATTCATTGTTGCACCC